TCTGATCAATATGCTATGCCTACACTTGAGAAGATCTTTGATGTTATTGGGCATGCAAAGGTTTTTAGTACATTGGATTTACGAGTAGGATATCATCAGTTGGGGATTCAAGATGAGGATAAGGCCAAGAAATCCTTTTGGGTAATTGATTCGCATGGCAAGGATGTGTTGTATTGGTGGAAGTGCTTACAATTTGGGTTGAAGAATGCACCTGCTGAGTTCCAAAGAGTGATGGATAGGATCCTAGCCAGACTTGATTGTGCCCGAGCCTACATCGATGATATTCTAGTGTATAGTGCTACAGTGAGGAAGCATGAGATACATTTGTAGGAGGTATTTGAACGATTGATTGCTCATGGCCTCAAGTTGCATCATGGAAAGTGCAAGTTCTTTCAGGAGCAGGTAGAGTAATTGGGTCGTACTATATACCTAGGAGGATTGGGAGTTCATCAAACCAAGGTGGAGGCAATCTTGCATATTCAACAACCCTCAGATGTGAGTAGAGTGATAGCTTTCCTTGGACTTCCAAACTTCTATCGTCGATATGTGCAAGGATTTAGCACTATTGCCAAAGTCTTGACAAAGTTGGCAAAGCTAGATCAAGAGTGGAGTTGAGAAGATGAACAAGAGAGAGCTTTTGTTGAGCTCAAGGGAAAGTTGACATCTGCCCTGATTTTGAGGAGACCTGTTAGAGGTCGTCCGTTTTGAGTACATACTAATTGGAGTATGTTGGATTTGGGAGCAGTGCTTACCCAACATGATGATGAGGGGAAGGAGTTTGTAGTGGCTTATGCAAGTCTTTCCAACAATGTAGCGGAGTCGAAGTATAGTTCTTATGAAGGAGAATGTTTGGCAACTGTTTGGGCGGTGGCACATTTCAGATGTTATTTGTTTGGAAACTCCTTCACTCTCATCACTGATCATCAACCATTGAAATGGTTGATGGAATCAGAGAAGCTTATAGGAAAGCTTGCATGATGGGCTCTTGTCCTACATGAGTATGATTTCACTGTTGTTCATAGACATGGGGTGATGAACCATGATGCAAATGGGTTAAGTCGAAACCTATGTACAAGTCAAGTTGACGAAACCGGGGCTCGATGGCATGGTGATACTGATGAGGAGATGGTGCCGGATTGGCATGCATCTGCCTTTTTGAGTACGTTGGTGCTTGAGAGCTATATGATATCTCTCTTGGGTCAGAGAGCAAATATGTTAGCCTTGGACATTAAGACTGAGGATGGTTTGGTAAACCGAGACATCCATGATGACATGCTAGTGTTGGAGTATCTTCGTACAAGTGCTTTGGTGGGCACCTTGAGTGCAAAGGAGCGGGATCGAGTTTTACAAAGAGCTTGATGGTTCAAATGGGAAGATAGACAACTTCTTTGAGTATGGGGAGATGGCAGAGTTCCTGTTGTGCCACTTCCATCTCAGAGAGCACAGTTGGTCTGACATGCTCATAAGGAGTTAGGTCATTTTGGAGTAAAGCGTTGTCGTGTTGTGACGCGGCTACTATGAGAAGATGATGACATGTGTCATCTTCAGAGTTGTTGTCATGACAACGATATTTTAGGTAAGGGTAACAGATGGCATTGTAAGGCTATAAAGAGCTAGAGAGATCTAGACACATAACCTTGCTGACTAAGGAGCTTATCTGATTGAAGTGGAGTCGACGTAGGACGTGGATAGGGGACAACATGATCCTCAAGATGTACCATTGTCGAGTCCATTTGTGATCAACATCCGGTGTCTTCATTGTGATCGCTTTTGGGTATACTTAGTTGGTTTCAAGTTGTCATTTTAACTCTTATTAGTGACTATTCATATTGTGTACAGGATGTCTAAGTAGAGTGTTTAGTATAGTTGTAAAGCTCTAAGTTTCAATGGAGCTAATTTGGCCACACTAGAGGTCAAAATAGCATTCTCCATTCCCATTGGTCTAAGAGTTTTGACTAATGAGGACACTAGGGCAACTTTCCGAGGTTTTTAGGGATTTTGGAGACCTTTCAGGGGGAATTCAAAAATATGAGGATAGCGTTGGAAAGCTCACGGGACAGGCTACAACGTGGACTCAAGAATGGATGGATTTAAAGGATTTGTCACTCTGAAACGGTGATTCAAAGTTAGAGAGACAAATTTCAACCTTTGAGTGTATTTGGAGTGTTTGTGAGAATCTGACAAGGGTTTTGAGAGATCTGAGTTGACACAGATATAGTTTACGACTCAGGCTTGTGTTTTGTTTGAGGTTTTGACTTGATTGGACGAGAGTTGAGTATGGAGTGATAGGTTGAAGTTTGTGTAAGCAGTCAGAGTTGCACGATTGCACAGACTATCACAAACTTAGTACATCAATCATATCTTTTGATAGCAGAAAGTTCTGTCAATAAAAATTTTCACAGTTAAAGTTCGGATGATGAGTGACCTTCGCATAAAATTTGAGGGCAATTGGATTCAAGGATTGAGATGTGTGATGGGTTTTGTACACAGGGGTCTGCATATCACCTTGTGATACAGTGGGTAAATCACCAATTGTTTTGAGAAATCTAGAGGAGAAAAACATCTAAAACTTTTTTGAGTGATAGAAAGGGTTGTGAAGCAATTTTCTGTAAAGTTTGAGAGAAAGTTATTGGTCGAGTCATCGGATATCATAATCTTCTTCCGTTGAAGTTTTACCGGTTGGAATGTGGAGTGCTGAGGAGAGGAAGAAGAGATTTTCAACTCACACAAGTATCTAGAGGGTTCTTCTACAGCCAGGCGCTCGGGCGTTCTCAAAGCAAAGAATTGTCCTTTGCGACATAAAGGTGGTGAACCCGACATGAAACCTCTGAGGTGGAGGAACTTTCATGAGTTCTCTTGTTGTGAGTTTACAGATTCATGGGTTTCGGTTTATAGTTTAGTGTTTGAAGTTTAGCTTACTTCAAAGTCACTATTTGTGGAGAGGTATGCAAACTGAGGTGTAACAGTTTGTGGCCAGATTTATGGTATGTGATCGTGTTGAGCATCATTCAATATCCATACACCACAACTACATTCTCTACCGATTATGGGACTTGGTTATCGTTGGAGCTTGGATTTTGCAGGATCTTTGCCATTGACTATACGATATCATTGATATGTATTGGTCATGGTGGAGCATTTCTCAAGTGGATTGAGTTGGTGCTCTTGCCCGACAAGTCAAGTGAGAGAACAGCTTATGCGTTCTTAGCTGCACTGCTTAGCCGATTTGGTACACCAGCAAAAGTGTTGAGTGATCAATGTACTAAGTTTTTGGACGAGTTTCAGGCTTTGTGAGATCGAGCGTAGATCAATTATCATACCACCTCAAGAGATCATCCCGAGGCTGATGGTCTAGCAAAGAGAGTTGTTTAGACAATGAAGAGAGTACTAAGAAAGTTTGGATTGGATAAAGGTCATTTGGGAGACTGGGACATCCAGCTACCATCCAGTTGACCATGGGTTATTGATTTAGCCAGCAAGCATCTCTAGCGTCATTCTCACCGTACTTTTTATTATATGGTAGAGATCTAGACTTACCTGTAGCTATCCGTCGAGAGTAAGGTGAAGTCTTGGACTTGGATAACCCTGATGTTTGGGTTAGGGTGTGTTCTCAAAGGCCATAACTCTTCCGTAGAGTCATGCCCATGGCATTTGAGAACCTGGCTATTGCTCAGCATAAAGATACTTTGCATTATGTTACCATCCAAGGAGGTGGATATCGACCTTCAATTCACAGATTTCATGTTGGTGATTACGTTTACTTGCAACAGAGTGCACCGACCACATTGGATGTTATGGCTGGTCACACGATTCTTTGAGTACGTGAGGTTTTACCTTCTAGAGTTTTGGTATTGGAGGGTCGTGATGGTGTGATTTGGAAGGATCATATGTGTAATTGTGCGCCATGTCACCTTCCAAACATTGATGGTACTATGGATGTAAGCCTAACAGTTGTATGTGCATGCTTCAGATGTATGTTATGTGGAACAGTTGGTGGAGCAGCCAGTATGTTGATTTGTGATTCTTGTTTGAGAGGATGACATATGTTTGACACCTCCTCTCAATGTGGTGCCCAGTGGGCGGTGGAGATGTTCTTGATGCATTAAGTAGGCAAGCAGGTCTGACTGTTACATGATATGGATTGCAGATAGGTGACTAACGATGGGACATTGTAGCACCCGGCCTCCTGATCTTAGCCCCACGAAGGACATATCATGTTATGGACTAGATGGCTACTTGATGTTATAGGGACCTAACCGCCAGTTAGGGGGGCGATTGTGGTACACTTATGTTGGTGTATGATGATCTATGTGTTGTGATGTTTGATGTGAAATGATGTATGTTGTGATGCGATATGTATGTGCATGATTGATGTCACGACTTATGTAGTGGTATCTCTAGTTAGGTAGATGCACGTATGCAGAAGCAAATACAACAGTTAGAGCCGGTTGTGCAGTTAGCACCCTTCGCATTGGAACTGCCGTTAGGGCCGACAACTCCTTTAGGGGTCATAGGGCTCAAGGGGTAGAGTTCGAATTAGGGCTCCTTGGAGGGTAGTTTTCGAAGTTCAGCCTTTGAGAGTGTGGCTATGGTGGATAGTAGCTAGTGCGGGAACCTCGAGTCTTTGAAGCACAAAGTGGGTTTGGCTTGATTGTAATCTCTCTTTTATGCTATGGTTATGATCGGAGTGTCCTTTTGGACGTTTTGACAGTAGAAAAGATTATTGTGGTACACTTGTGTTGGTGTATGCAGATCTATGTGTTGTGATGTTTGATGTGACAACGATGTATGTTGTGATACGATATGTATGTGCACGACAACCAATCTTTCTTGTAACCAAAAATCTAAACGATTTGGTTTGAAATTTGATCTCAAAAGCTAAGAGTTGTGTATGGAATAATTAATACATTGTGTAATATCTAACAACATATTGCAAAAATTGAACTTACTATTTTGTGTATTAAGAGTACATAATTATTTTAGGAATTGACAATGGCATCTAGTCGTTGTAGTATAGTGGTAAGTATTACCGCCTGTCACGCGGGTGACCCGGATGACCCGGGTTCGATCCCCGGCAATGGCGCTCACCAGCCACACGGACGGCTGCTAGATTTTGGATGCATGTGCTGCAATTTCAACAGTTCCATCTCCCATTTTCCGTAGTCCAAAGACGTTCTGCCTTTGCTTTTTCATAGCACCTCAGTTTCATCCCCCATTCCCCAGCCAATGAACTTCTAGCAAAATGAAGTCAAAAAGGAAATGTTTATCTTACTTGAAAGGGAAGGTTCTTGGGCTTATCTGCGTAGCGATAGTGGCATGGGTGGGGGTGCTTTAGACTGATTGACTTGGTACAACTTGAAAATTTTGGAGTACTTATTTTCAAGCTGAGGCGCAAGCTCTGGCGCCTCAGCTGAGGCGCCAGAGCTTGCGTCATCCGCAACCATGCTTCATTCAAGGTCATGCTTTCCTCTCCTTTTGTTAATGACACACGATCATCACTACTAATACTATCGTAATCCGGAGTGAACGAAGTGATGTGTGTTCAGTGTATTAGTTAGAGTACCGGAAAAGTATTAGTTCCATTATTTAGTCATACTTTGCCAAACATGGAGAGTGAATAGTACATTCTCTTCGTCTTTCAATTTGGGTTCCATTGGTACCTAAATTGAAGACTATAGAGAATGATATTGTGAAATATGATTGTTTTCATTTTTTTTAGGGTTTTGAGTGCATTTTTAGTGATTTTACTTCGATTAGAAATATAGGTCGAGTTTTTTTTGTTCCCATCTCTTACTTTTCCTGCATTGGTTCTATTGGAACATAGTTGGAAAATTATGGAGATCTGAATAAAAAGTTATGAGTATTTTTAGATTTTAGGGTTTCCATAGTTAGCATTTTCCAATGTGAGATGGTGTGTTAAGGGGTTGTGGTTCTGCAGTGGGAGGAGATACATGATGGAGTGATGGGTTTCTTTATCGTTCCCTTTGTGCTAGCTATAGCTTGACTTTCTGTCATGGGACCGCCAAAAGCGGTGCTGGATACACCATGTCCGGTGTGTCATTGTCTCTTTACCTCGCAAGGGGTCAAGACCCACGTGGGAAAGATGCACAGAGATTATGATTGGACTACTTGGGATGCGCATGTGAGGAGGACGATCACATCAACATCAGATTTTGTCACTTCAGGGAACACGCACACTACATCGACTCTTTCGTTGAGCATTCCGAGTATACCGTCAGGGTCGTGGGAGTGGTTAGCTTCCCATGCATGTTCGATTCTAGGATTTGAGACTAGATTTCCATGTCCACGTTTATTCTATAGGCTTCCTCGGGCACTGCATGACAAGGCTAGACATGCTTTTCGCTTACCGCTCGATCGGTTGGTGCGCGATCACATGGACGAGTTAACATGGTTTTTATTTTTATTACTTCAGCGATGGTGTCTACGTTATACTAGAGGGGGACGTGCTAGACATAGGGAGGTGGCAGCTAGATTTCGGAGATTCCAAGCAGGGGATTGGGCTACATTGCAGGAGGAGTCTGTTCGGGCCACACATGTTAGGAGTCGGGTTCAGTTTGTAGACCTTTTGACTTGGATAGTTCAGATATCTTAGGTCCTCTAGCACCTAAGAAATCTGAACTATCCAAGTTGTTATATAAGATTTTTTTTCATTTGATATTTATGATTTGAAATTTAAATATCTTTAGTATTTTTTTTAATCAATAAAGTTAGCCATAAAACCTACTCGGAAAATAATTTTTAATCTGTTAAACCGTAGGTTAGTGAAAGCACCGTTATCCGTTTGGATGCAAGTCTGCGAGTTGTAGACTCAGCAAATTGATTTTTCGTTATGCCTACTTTTTCTGTGAATGTATCAAGAGAACCTTAATCTCTCTGAAATTATAAACACTAGCACAACAGAAGAGTCGCGCGCCGAAAGCCTTGCGTCCAAAGATCAAAGCCAACAAGGAGGGAACAGAGCCGATTGCTCAGTGCTCCAATTATCCCAAAAATTGGAGAATGTAGTGGTGCTTGTGCTGATGAGTTAAATGAGATGAGGTACATCCAAGGATGGAACCCACAAATGGATGGATACCTAGACGTGATCCACGTTTTGGACCGCATTGCACAAGGTAAAAAGTATGAGATGGAGAGGATCCATCAATTAAACTCAATTCTGAAATGATTAGAGTCTTCGCTATGGTGCCAATCTTTGGTTCTTATACAGTTTCGATCTCAATCTTTAAGTGCAAGTTTACATTATATTGTACTCTTGAGTGAGAGCGCTTCTGTAGTTATCGATCTACTGGAGATTTTAATTCGACATTCTATAATCTGATAAGAGTAAGGTCGAAGGTAAACTTCGTTGTTATCTAAATCCTTATAATTGACTTTCTTGAGGTAAAGAAATTAAAAAATTTGTAAATAATGTGAAGTATTTTAAAGAGTACAATTACAGAAACGACATACTTCCACAAGCAAGCTCGAATAGCCAGTTGGCTTGAGCGTGTGTGTCTTAGATACAAATTGACAAACTCTCCCTCCTCAATTATCTGTTGGCAGTAGACCGTGTGGCCCAATGGATAAGGCGCTAGCCTACGGAGCTAGAGATTCTGGGTTCGATCCCCAGCATGGTCGCATGATTAGGTTAATTCTACCTCTGAATGAGCCCAGTCGTCTCCTTTTTCGTCTATGCACCACTATTTGTGTAGAATTAGAAGGAACAAATGGAGGAACCGGTTTACTATTTGGGTTGGAGACTCCAGTTTCTTGTCAGGAGAAGTACTTAAGCGGTACATTCCGTAGCGAATCATATATGTTCATAAAACATATAACACTGTGATTTGTTAGGAGGATGAAACATTCGTAGCTCAGCATCGAAGTCATCCATTAGTGCCAAAAGAAAGGTTCTCTAGGAGGATATACAGACATCTCAGTGGACCTGAAAAGCATCATACGTTATTAAGAGATCTTGATATGCAAATATTGTGGTCCATCCTGAATGCGGTTGGGCTTTGGTTTCAATCGAGAGACCGCGTGGGAACAAGGTCGATCAGAAAGCAAGGATCAAACCGACTGCTTTTACTAATCGTACAACTATGCTTCCCTCTCTCATTATTGAGATAACATCTTTCCCTTGTTAGAATGAAGAGGCTGCTGAAAGTGTTTCTTTCAGGTTCACTTTGCTGGTAGCTCTATCATGCCAAGAGCAAGTTCAGAGGTGAATGCAACTGCGCTTTTATCCAATCATAATTTCAACTGGAGAGAGAAAGTACTGAGCCAACTCGAGCAAGAAATTGAACAGAACAACTGAACACAACAGGCACACAGGCTAAACATGCTCCCATGTTTGCCCGATAATATATTTATCCTTTGCTGCCCGTCTTGTTATCACCTGTTAGGGTTTCAAGAATAGAGGACATATAAATCGACGAAAACTGTCATATATAAGAGAGAGAGAAACAGCAACGCACGGCGTAAAAAGAAGCATGGGAAAATCCATAAAGAGGAAGACCCTTTGGAGGCCGAAAAAATAATACAAACCACGGCCAAAGGCACGAAGACCTTTTAGCCGCTCACATCGCCTGATAATTTTCTGCTTGCTCTGAAAGTCCGTCCAAGGAACAAAAGAAGGAGCGTCAACTGCAGGGCTCGAACCTACGCGGGCGTCGCCCAACAGATTTCAAGTCTGTCGCCTTAACCACTCGGCCAAATTGACTTCTCATTCCACATATCGCGAATACTAATAATTAAAAATAAACAAATGCGCGATGGTTAGATTGCAACGTATTTTCTGTAAATTTCCTTTCCTTTGATCTGAATCAGAAATGCTGTGCATGCTCAAGCGCGTTTCAATTATATTATGCTTTTAGATCATGACACGCTTTGTGAAGATGCTCGAGAATATTAGAAGAAATATAAATATCAAGTAGGATCCGGATGAATTCAACTTTGCAGGTGAGAATGAGTGACCTAAAAAAATCTGACGATATTGCTACATTCTCATCAGTTGCAACTTGTGGGAAAACAAATTCTGGAGATTTTTTGTTTTTGAAACCATTGACAGAAGGTACTGAGGTACTGAATATTCTTCTCATTGACAGAAACTACGTTTATGATATACAACCCTTTCCAGTGGACTCATCATCAGCTGTAACGATTACTTGAGAGGGCTTTACGAGTCTGAGCCAAGAAGAAAAACCGAAATCCAGTGTTCACTTACTTCGTGTTGGAAATTAAGCCCGTCCTTTTCATCAACCTTGAAGGCCGACAGAGCGCACATGCAAACTCACGGGTTCGTTTGACTGAGCTCCTTACGATGAAAGATCTTTTAAAGTGTCTGTTGGATCAAATTCATCTGCATGAGGCGTCCGGTACAGAAGAGCATAATGACCTGACGTATCCCTCATGGCTATATATGTCCTGCCACAAGGAGTCTCTCCAACTTTCCTCTCCAACATTTAAGAACATGACAGAAATGTCACAACCGCAATAATAAGTTTCAAGGCTCATGCAGCACTCTGGCAGGTCAGATTCATCTCAGGCTTGCTAGTGTCGGTCCTTTCAACCAGCTGGAGCAGCAGCAGCTGCTGCTGCTATAGGGCGGCCATCACCTGGATTATCCCGACCTCTGGTGGCATTACGATACCAGTCACAAGCGGTGGCGAGTATGAGTGTGAGTACCACTGAGGAGAACAGGAATTATTGTTGGATGTCAAATCATGCCCACTGGCTGATTTGGCCCAGCTTCTGGACTGTCTGCAAAACTAGCTGCGTGCGTTTGGCAATCTGTTACATCGGGGCCAGTACGGTAGGAAGATGCCCCTCACATGCTTCAAGTCATCGTTTTCTCTGTGTCAGCCAGCCATGGAGGAGATATACGTAGACCTTGGGCTCACGCTTCTCAGCCCTTTGGCATTTTGATGGCGAATGGACACTCTGCACATGGGCAGATGCATGCCTTCTGGAAGGAACTGTCTCTTGGACCACGGAGAGCCTTTAAATGTCGGAGGCTAGATCTTTGCAAGACACCAGAGCTGCTCGATCTGGTCACCCATTGCAAGGACTTCCAGTCTGGAGAAGC